AATCTCACCAGAAAAGTGCTTGAGTATTTCTAGGTTTTGGTTGGATATGTTTTCCAGAATTCTCATTTTTGCTTCTAAGCTCAAGTTTATCATTGGCAACAAATAACTAATGTATTTTTTCAGTGAACAAGCCCACTTTGTTCATTATTTAAAAACATGTTTGTCCCAAGTGTGAATAACTATAGTCTGTTATTGTTTCCAGAAGAAATAATAATGTTGCATGAAAAAAGTGGCTAGTTCAGCTTACAACCCCCTCAGACAAGTTCTTTTCCTTATGATGCTATCTTCACTATGCAAATAAGAAAGATGATGTGTAGTCAAGAGTCAAGATTTTATAAAATTAATATATTTTACAGCTTCACCAAGGGCATTCTTTAGGGAAAGTGGCTTTTTCCTCTTTACAAGTGAGTCAGATGAAGAACACAATAAGTACAAAAATGTGGTTTGGCACCACTGCCTTGATTCATGCTACAGAGTTAGCAATTTTACCCACCATTGCTTTTGCACTATTACTGAAAATGTCAGCACAGTGAAAAAGGCAAACGATGCCCTAGAATCAAGAAAATGATTTTGAACTTGTCGACCCCCTGAAAGGGTAATGAGGCCCTTGAAGGCCAGTGAGCCACACTGTGGCAGAAAGCTCCTATAACAGAACTTCTTAGAAAACTGAGTTAGAAAAGATACAAATGATTACAAATTATGCTGTTTATGTTTAGCACCAAAAAGTAAGCATATAGAAAGAAATAGCTATTTAAATAGCATGAACAGTGTATGCTCCCTAGAACAGTGATTTCAGACATACATTTTACATTATAATCCAATGTATACATTTATATGAGTAACTTAAAAAAACATTTTATGAAATAATACTTTCAGAATGTAGGATGCATTCTGATACTTTCTTCTTTATTATTGCACTTAATAAGTATTAGTTCTGACCCCCTTTACTGATTTCATAATTTACCAACTGTTTATAGCTGCTTATTGCTTGCCCTTGGGAGACACAAATCTGCTATTCCCTGAGTTCTTGGTGTTTCCTGTGTGTTGCATGAGCATTTTGCCACAGTGAATGTAATTCTAGGGTTTAAGGAAACATAAATACCAAACCAGAAGGCCCTCTTTAGTCTTCACGGCTGCATTTGTATAACCAGACTTGCTGTACTACTAAGTTATTTAAAGCACTTCCAGGGTAATTTTGTTTATGTGTATTTTATGCTGACTTTCCAATTTAACTCTTGTTTATGCTATGACTCCACTATATATCCTTCATGCCTTGTTATTCCTTGAGAAGACAATAACAGAATATAATCGTGAAATATCTTTTTTACAGGTTAATTACCATGCTCGGCATTATCATCTCACTCCATTTACAGTCATCAATATTATGTACAGCTTCAACAAAACTCAGGTGAGAACTCACTTATACATTTTATTAAAGTTATTTATTTTATAATATAAATACCATTTGGCCTTAGTAGTAATTAAAGCAATAATAATTCTTTTTAATTTAGTTATTAAAAATATTGTAATAAACTATTTGTACTCTTGTCCTAAAACTTAACATGGTACTGACATCTTTTTGATGCCACTGAATAATCAGTAAATTCACACCTTTGCCAAAATTAATTAAATATTAGGGATATTTAATCTATATTAGAAATACGTAATTGGAGTGTTCATTTTGGCCTAAATGTAGACTACCTGTCAGATATTAAAATAATGATCGAAATTAGTTTAGTTGTGGTTCTCTGCTAAAATGTCCATTAGACTAATGCCTTACTGGAAAATTTCAGTAAACATTCAATGTCAAGTTTTATTAAGACCTTTTTTGTGTTTCTTATTTAGGCATTAACAGAAATAACAAATTTTGTTCGTTTTAGGGTCCAAGAGCCCTTTGGAAAGGAATGGGAAGTACATTTATTGTCCAGGGAGTCACACTCGGAGCAGAAGGAATAATCAGTGAATTCACACCTTTACCAAGGTACCTTTTTGGCATTTTCTCAATATTAGCTTCATATTAAAAATATGACAGAATATGATAATTTCTAAAACTATCTTGATTTTGAAAACTTTTCTGAAGTAGCAACAGAGGAGGAGAGACAGAGAATGAAGTTAATTAATTATATCTTATTGACTTAGTGTGTGTTAAGACTATGCTTCCCATTCTAGTGTCTTTGAGATATGTCTTTCTGCTCCTGCTTCTGTGTGTCAGCAGCTATCAGCTGGGGAACAAACATGAGTGTGTACGTGGTTCCTGTTCTTTAAGTGGCTAGTTTGGTGAAGGAGACACTAGTAAGCAAATTTTAGTACATTGTGATTAGTGCTATAATTAAGCAAACCCATTTCTGAGTCCAAAGGACACTGTGTGGAGTTAGTTATTGACAAAGATTTCAAAAGAGAACTGAAATCTGAGTTAGATCTTGAATTATGAATAGGAATTAACTTGGAAGAGAACGCGAGCAGGTAGAGGTGACAGCATACCCAAGTCTATGAAAGTTGGAAGGTCTGGGTTTGGAAGTGTCTTATGCTTGGCATACTGAGCAGTATTCAGTAGAACAGCACAGAAAGAGGCTGAGGTGCTAGACTGAAGCATGATTCTGCCTTTGTAAGTGACTTAAGCTTTATTGTCTATGGAGTTGGGAATTTAAGGGGTCTTTTTTGTTTTTTTGTTTTTTGTTTTCCTTCAATATATGGGTTCTTTGATCAAGGATATACTCAAGTGACAGTGTTATTAAAAAAAAAAAATGGACTGGTAGAGACAGAGACTTGTGAAGAACTGCTACAGTAATCTAGGCCAGACTGAGAAGGCTCTGAACTACGGAACAGAACAGAAGAGAGGAGCTTGATAGACATTTCTGAAGTATAACTGATAATTGGTGATAGATTGGGAATGGGGTTACGGGACATTTAATTATCAGCAGTGACAGATTTCTAGATTGGAACTGAGTTGGAGAATGCATACAAAAAGAGTAAGCTGGAGTGGGAAAGAAGGTAAGGAACGCAACTGTCAACAAACAAAGTTTGAGATTCTTGTGAGACATGTAGGGGGACTGTCTAGTAACTGGTTGGAACCTGCATCAGAGTCTTGGAGAAAATTTGAAGCTGGAGGCATAGCTCTGAATGTTGTGGCACAAAAGTAGCAGTTGAAGAATGAGGATGGGTGAATTTCTCTAAGGAGAAGGTTAGACTCAATGACAGAGAGTGGACCAAGGACAGAATCCTGGGCAGTGTTGGAGTGCACATGAGAGTATGTGTGCTTGGTAGGAGAGGCAGTTGAGGAGAGTGGTAAGAGATGTTCACAAAACAAATTGAAATAGCAGTCAGCTATAGGACAGTAGTGTCCTAGAAGCCAGGAGAAGAGAATTAGAATTGTAGATTCTTTTGGACAAGAGGGTAGGTAAATAGGGGATATTTGCTGCTGGACCTGTTTTCTCTCTAAAACAGGATACGAGTTCATTAGGTGAAAGAAGGATAAGACTGGGGTCAAAGCAGAAAAGTATGAGAACAACAGTAGACGTTTGGGACAGTCACAACTGTGCATAACAGAAGGGGAACCTTACAAAGAAAGTATGAAAAGAATGTGAATAGATAAGGTTGGAGATCATAAATTTGTTTAGGTGCTAATTGACAGGACTTTGTGATTTCCTGTATCAACAAGAAATCCCAGGGATGGAGTTAAAGACTTTGAATGGTTTGTTAATCCATAATTGGCCCCTGGAGGGTACATTTTTGAGGTTGACAAGGAAGCGAGGTAGTTGAAGGTGCAGCCAGTAGCGTCTCCATCTTGGGATTCAGTCTTTGTAGGGAAGGAAAGGCAGAAGAGACTAATATCCAGCTTTTTGCCAGTGTGATTGATTTCAAAGGACTGCCTAGCCTTGAAATTCCTTTAACATAGCTTTGCTAAATGTTACAAACAAAAAAACATTCGGTCTGCTAAAAGTTTCCCCTCTCATACTTAAAAAAATCTGAATTTCTGCCCTTGGCTAACTTTATTCACCCCATTGCTTTTTATATCACAGGATAAAGTCAAAAGATAGTATTTGTCATCAAATGTTCTTGAAGTTCTCCCACAAACACAAAATTCTATAAGAATTTAACAAAATTCAGGAATTTCTACATAGAAGTGTAAAGAATTCTGTATTTGCAGTCAGAACACTATAGGTCCTGGTCAAACCACTTTTTAGTTGTGGGACCTTAGGCAAGTAACATCATTTCTCTAAAGCAGAGATGAAGTAGTAACTTTAACTTCAGGTGGAAGGAAAGGGAAAAGAGAAATGGGAATGGAAAAGCACAGAATTTTATTAAATTTTACTATCTAACTTTCTTACCCTATAGACATACAGACATATCTCTCATACCTCAAAGGGTATGTATTATCTTGGTCGTTTTTCATCTTATTAAAGAAGATGCAAAAGGTTATCTTTCTTGTATTCTCTTTGGATGAATTCTGGCAATAAAGCTTACTCATTAATTCACTGATTTATTTACCTGATGTTTCCTGAGTACTTACTATGTGCTAGGTCCTGTGCTGGAAATCAGGTATACAATGAGGAGAAGCAGTAAAAGGTACCTGTGGCCATAAAGCTTAGGATCTAATGTAAGGAACATACATTAAGTAAAATACTTCCTCTAATGAGTAAATAATTACAAGTTGAGATTTGTTCTGTAAAGTAAAAGAATATGGTTCTCTGAGAGTATTAGAGGGTTAGGAATAGTGTCACTAACAAAATGACACATAAGTTGAGATCTGAATGGCGATCAGGAGACACAGGCCACTTTGGGCAAAGACAGTTGTAGGGGGGTTTGCAGGGGGGAACATGGATTGCTCAGGGAAAGCTCATATGGCTGGAGCACAGAGCAGGATGGAGAGCAGTGAAAAAGTAAGATCCCGTCTCTGCTTGGCCTTGTGGGTCACTTTAAGAATATTGAAGAGTCAATGACATGATCAGATTCATGTTTTTAAAGGGTCGTTGTCACTAGAGGTGAAAAGATTGCAGGAAGACCAAGTACATAAAAGGGTATGTGTTCATAAGCTGTAATCTAAGTGATCTTTTGGGATAGACGTAAATGGATAATTTCGAGATAAATTTAGGTAAAATTGGTGGAACTTGGTGATGGATTAGGGGTGGTGAGTGATAGACAAGGAGGTGTCAAGGGTGACTTTTAGGATTTTGGCTTATGTAACTGGATGTCATAGGAAGCCATTCTCTGAAGTACAGTGTAAACATTTTTTTAAATTCTAACTTCCTTGGGCAGGTTTGACCTATCTCGGGGGAAAACATAGGCACAGCAGACAAGGCAGGAAAGCGGTAACCCAGAGCCCTTCACAGAAGTTAACTCCATGAGGAGGACGGGCTCAAGGGCCTCCTAGACAGAGGGTCTTCGGTTGCTCGGTGACCACTAGGTGCAGCAGGTGAGGCAGTGTGTGCTCGCTAGTGCTTAGCGTTCTTACACTGATTATGGTCACATCTGCGGGAAACAGCAAGTCTTTAGTGCTTACTAGGTCGCCAAGCTTGTACTTTCTCAGTAGTATTAAAAAAAACATGTATGTAACCCAGGAGCATCATCTGCGACCTCTTTATCTGCTGCCCAGACCCCTCCCAAACCTACCCCCGGGCAGAGTAAGGTGGACTTTGTGTTGCTCAACCCTGAAGTACCCTTTCTTTTCATGCAGTATTTCTCATATCGTTAACACAAGGAGCACCTCTAACCAAGGCTTCCTGTGTCATTCAGTCCCTCACAGAACCCATCTGGCTGAACTCCAACTTAGTTTGACTCCTCTTACGTTTGTAGCTGTACCAGTATAAACATTTTACTGTTTTCTCCTCATGTTGTCTGTTTTTCCTGATGCCTCCTCTGAATTCACTGACTTTAAACACATTCTATTTTAAATGTAATGAAGTCTTTCTCCAATTCAATAGACTTCCTTTCTGATGAACAGTTCTCAATTAGCGAACACTAAAAGAGTCTAAGAGTAGGAAAGATAAATCCTAAGTTTGGTTTTGGACCAGTTCCTTTTCAGGTACTTTGTCACATCCAGGTGGAGATGTCAGTTGACAGATGATATATAAGGTTGATACAGAGGGAAGTCTAAACTGAAGATAGTAGATTTGGGAACTTCTGAAGCATCATCTTGGATGAGATTACTTAGAGAAGGAGTATCACATACAAAGTAAGACAAGAAAAGGGCTTGAGGAACTCCAGAATAGGTTTCTGGGTTAAGAAAAAATGCCTCTGCAAAGGAGTCAGAAGTAGAGACCAGAGGAGAGCAAACCCGGACGCGTGTGGGCCAGTGGAGTACAGGGGCAGGAGCGCTGCAGCGGGAGGGAGGAACACGTGTGCCTGATGGCTGCTGAAAGGCCAGATTAGGTACAGACCCAGAAACGTCCATTGGATTTAGTGACATGGAGGTCATGGAAACCAGGGGAAGAGTTGTTTTGGTAGAATAAGAGGGAAGAAGCCAATCTGGAGTGGGTTCAGAGGTGAGTGGGATGTTAGGACACAGAAATAGCAAGTTTAGGAAGTTGGCTGTGAAAAGAAGCTGGAATATGAGGTGTTTCGGTTAGGTTGAGGGAAGATGTTTTCTTTTTTAAGAGGGAGGCTATTTGAGCATGGGAAAATAAGAGGCACTGGAAAGTGAAGACTGCATAAAGAGTTACTTAAAAATTCTGTTGCTTCTATATATTGATTATACATGTGAATATGTGTTAGTCTGTCAAATGGAAAACTAAAAAGCAAGTCGCTTCTCAATTTTGTTGCCCATTTGAAGGGCAGCTTTAGCTTGTAAAAATAGTGAATTAAATATATTTACATATTTTGGCATTGTAATGAAATATAAAAGAAGTTTAATCGCAAGTAGGTTTTTACACTACCCTCTTTCCTGAAGCATTTATATGTGCTAATTTAAATTTCTAGAGCTGTGGCCCATTTTGTAAAGGAGCAGAGAGCAGGTACAAGGAAAAGTGTCTTAGGCTTTTTTAATACTTAATTTTAAATTTCTTTTTTCACTCTTTTTACCTTAAGAATCATAATGATCTTAAGAATTGGCAGTAGTAATCAGTATTGAAAGGAGAGTTGGTCCAGTCCTTACAGAACCACACGTTACAGACCCATCTCTCCATAATGTTAACAACAGTTTCAAAATTAATGCCATGATAACCTGTGGTAACCCTTTCTGAGGCCATAGTAATTAGAATAATAGCAGTGCCAGATGACTTACAAACCATTTAGCATATTTTGTTTTATAATAATAAAGTCACTGTCAATAAGATGGGTGGCTTAATTTTTCATCAGGATCATTAAATGTTATTCCAGCTATATTTTTCTGTAGTTGTTCAGGCCTAATATAGTATTCTGGTATTAATTTAATCAGAATGACCCAGAACACTCTCAAAAGGTCTTATAAATGCAAGGTGATTGTTCTGTTGGCTGGAAGTTTCTCTGCAGACTTTTCAGTCTCCTAGAAACATGTAGAAAAGTTCACATACCACCCATGCTCTAAGTGTACTGAATTTCCTTTTCGAACACTTACATTATTAGTGATTCATTTTCTTCACCTTTTTAATATAAAATATATTTATTCCTTTACTTCTTCATGCTTGTCATATTTACTCATTTCAAATAGAAAATGTTTTTCTTAGGTACCTGCCGTGGCCGTGGTACAGTGGGCGCCAGTCTCATCGGGGAGCTGGTGGCAGCCGGTCTCCCCTTGATTGCACACTCCTTCTCCTTTTCTCTGTTACTCCGCCTTTCTGCTTCCCCTCTCTTCCATGCCCTCTGTCTGCCCTTTCATTTTTTTCTGCATCCTTACTTATTTCCCTTTTCCTCTCCATTTTCTTTTCTCCTTTTCGACTTTCCTCTTCGTTTAACTGTCTCCCTTTTTGTCCTTCATTCAGCTTGCCTCTCTTCTGTTTCTTCTCTTTTTATGGTTTCCAGAAGTCATCTAAATAGCAGGAAGCTCACAGTCCTAGACCTTGGCTCCTGACCTGGCATTTTCCCTGTCTCCTTTGACATATCTCTCTGATCTTTTTGACCTTCACTTTTCTCATAAGTAAAAGAAATACAACAATATCTGCTCTGCATATCTCCCAGGATTCCTTCCTGTATCAAGTGAGATGAGAGGCAGGCAGGTTGAGTACAGAGTCATAGAGACCAGGGTTTAGACCCATTTCCACCACTAACTAGTTGCATGGCTTTGGGTAAGTTATGAACCTCTCTGAGCCTATTTCCTTATCTATGAAAAGGGGTAATGG